TAGTTATGAAAAAGAGCCAAACGCGTTAGAAAATAAAGGGATCAAAGGATTTTTAAGGATACTATAGCAATCAGCATCAGGGTGCTTTGTTTTCATGTAAGAAAAAAAGGTCACAGTGTCTACAAAACGACCCGCTGGTTTTTTCGACAATTTAAATGTAAGAATAACATTTTAATTGGGGTTTTGTTGGGTTTGTTTAAGCATACTAGCATAAACTTAAAAAAATACCAAATTAATTGAATATTTGCCTTATACAACTAATGAGGCTTCTCATTACATAGCTGATGTGTCCCCTGCAACAGGATATGCAAGCTGTGGGACAATGGTTAGATGCTGAATAGAGCTGCAGTCCTCTCTATTGTTTATGCCTTATCTATCTGCCTCATTTCCTTCCATGTTAGCACTCACTGTTTGTGTCCCTCGCGTTTCCTGAATGCACAGTCTCCATAAACAGTTTGTCTGGATAATTGTAACCAGATTCTGTGTGAATGAATAGTTTGTTCTGTATACTGTATTTTGCACAGGTTTGTAGACTTTTACAGATTAGAGGCTGTTGGAGTTTTTCTGGCTGTAGTAAGTTACCTTCCATTGCTGTCAGGATGACCAAGGGGAACACCTTTCTTTACGTGGCCTCCAGTGTTTATATGGTCCATTCACTGACACTGTTTTCTAATTGGTTTGCTTTTTGGTCAGCCAGGTGTGACCAGCCCCAAATGTGACTCCACATTCCTGCCTTTGGAGCCTATGTAATTAGCTTCAACTCAAGCATTTCTTACTTCAGCGGCTTTTCTCAACTCCTTTTGTCTGTGTGAGTCCGTCTCACCCGCTCTCCCTGTGTCTCCAAACATGAGCTTTAATCCCTGCCTACACCTGTGTGACAGGCCTCCCCTCATGCACAAAGAAAAATATCCTCCCCATCACCTTAAATGGTAAATCCGTAAGTTGTTTTTAAAGAAGAGTTAGAGCCATTTAGGCAGGTTATGGTTCCTAAAAGTAAACACAACATTTCAACACTTGTGTCTCTACAAATATGGACCATAGGGAATACTGGAAGCCAGGTTCATGCTGAAACAGTAAGCTTTAATATTAACATTCTAGATTTATTCTGCAAGGTTTGTAGCTGTTGACTAAGAAAAAGTCATAAAAGACAAATCTAGTTTTAAGCAATCTTTTTTTAAATGTGAGGTTTTTGCTGCCTGCTCTTACATTTTGCTTGGAACAAGACCAACTCAAATAGCCATACATATACCCACAGTGATCCCAAATGACTCATCAGAGCGTGGCTGACCAACAGTCCACCCCAGCTTGCCATCAGCCTTATCAACAGACAGGGTCTTAGAGGGGATTGGAAAACAGGAAGGGCCTTCTGCACAGGGGAATAGCTACTGGCACTAATGTTTGTTTGTGTGAGTGTGTGTGCTTGAATGTCCATCCGTGCATGCAAGTGTAAATTGGCACAGTTGGTTTACTCTCAAATTGAGATTTACATGTCTTGCAGTAGTCCTTTTACTGGGATAAACTGCTCTTAGCTACAGGGCATACATAGAAAAAATAACTTAATTTTTTTCTGTTTAAGGCTTTACAAAGCTCTAATTTTCACAGCAAGTTAACCAGGTTTGTCCTCTGTGAAGAGAATGTTTTAGGCTTGCTGGGTTACTGCTACAGTGACTGAGAATGTTCACTGTAAATGGCATCCTTTCAGTGTCTGAATAGGCTTTTGTGCACCTCTTAAATAACCTTGCCTACCAAAGGTAATCACCAATGAAACAGCTCCCCACCTCTCTCCTGTTTTAACAGGTCTTAGTATGACCCACTAGTAAGCTTGCATGAATACAGACTTGTGTTTGGCTTACAGCCAGTGGTAGTTTGTCTGCAATTGGACTAAGTCCCGGGTGTCAAGGAGCAATGCTTAGGAATCTGTACTTGTGTGGATTATTTATAGCCATTCTGACATTTACACTGCTTTGGTTGGTAGAAAACTCAAGGCTTTGCTGTCCTTTTTTATTATGGCATTACCCGCGTTTTTCAGGATTGGGAAATGTCACGCCTTTTAATTCTTAGTGTCCGCACCTTGTGATTTTCTCTAAATGTTGGTCTGCAAACCTTACATTTTATGTTGGCCTGGTATAAGCTTCACTTCTTAAAGGAGTAGTTACATTTTAGTGGCCTTACTCATTTTAGAGCACTAGCAGGCCAACGTGTATTTTCCTATTCAGACGTGTCACCAACATTTTATTGTCTCCTGTTTTGTAATATGAGACTTTTGAGCAACATTTGATAGATTCTTTATGTATACCCATACTAGAGATGAAGCAGGCTCTGGATACCATAGGTTACCCCTACTGATATCCCACAGGAGCTTCACACTTGCCTCTCATATGTGTCATATCTTCTGTCAGTCAAACGGTACCAGTATATTCCCCCATCAGCAGTTTGCATTATTCCCTGACTTACTTGGCAGATTTTTAAAGAGCCACCTGTTGTCAGTTCCATACTCATTATTTCTTGGTGTTAAAATGCTTCCTGCCATCACATCACAACTGGTTAGAACCCTTTTTTTTCATCACAAATCACTCTTGCTGCGTTTTCTTTTAAATCTGTCTGCACAAGTGAGTCAGTGTGTGCATGTGCCAGTGCTGGTTTCAGGCAGGCAGAAGTGAGGCCAGTCTTGTCCAAACAAACAGTTGAATCCAGCAGCTTCTGTCTGGATGGAGATGTGGAGATGATGTCATTGTTATTACTCTTTTTGCTTTTAGAAGCCATGCTGATTATTATCTCGGCAGCACCTAAACCGCTAAGATATCAACTCTGGTTTGTTATCACCATTTAAAGTCTACGGTTACACTACATTTCTAACAAATGGCTAGAGACAAATATTATATTTAGACTTTTATTCAGTAGGCCTACTACCCGTATAATTAAATGAGTAGTTTGAGTATCCAAAGTGATATATGGGAAGATTGAAACCCCAAATTGTCATATTTGCAATCAGAGTTTTCTAATTCAAAATCAAACAAACAAGATATGATATCCCAATGTGTGAGCTTAGACTAGAGGCAATCGTAGGCAGATGTAGTTAATTTTGGACAGAGCAGGGCTAGCTTGTTGTTAGCGTTCTTTATGCTAAGCTAACTAAGCTAGTGGACTGCTGGCTTTGGCTTTATATTAAGCTAACAGACTTGAGTGATCAAATACAAGTAGGCCTAAGTGCATTTCCAAAATAAATGTCTTAATATTTTTCAGTTACAGATAGTTGCATTACAAAAACGTTGTTGCCACAGTAGCCTAAGCACTTTTGCTCTCCCTTTGCCCTTTTTGGCCAAAATCCTAGAACAGGGCAGTAAAGAAAGACAATCATTAATATGGACACATAATGACAACAGAGGAGGAGGAGATCTCAGCGCCTACACTTTTCCATTGAGTAACATTCAAAGAAGCAGAGTTGGTGGAGCTACTCTGTTTCTCTATAATTACCCAGAGAGCCCTGGGGCAAATCTATGTGGCTGACACAAATGCCTTCCCCCTGTCTTCTCTCTGCCTACACACAAACGCATGTACACTCAGTGTCCCAGCGTAGCGCCATGTGTCTGCAATATGGGAGGTCCTGAAGTTGTGGCCTCTGCTTCTCCCTACACTTGAGGAGAAATGGCCCTCTTAGCCGTCTCTCTGTCGACATTGTACTCCGCCTTCATTGCATCTCACTGTGTTCGAGGTGTAATAATCATGCCTTCTGTAGTCTTGACATTCTCTCTAATCACTTTGTTTTTTATTTATTTTTTAAAAAGGTGTACTTGGTTATTATCATAGTATGTCAGCATGGCAACATTTACAGTATTTCATTGCAACTGTAGTCTAAGCTTTAATACACTGAGCATCTCACAGGGATATCGAGGCAAACATCTGAAGTTGTTATCGTATAAAGCCTGTGAATCAATGTTTGCTCAGTCATTTGCTTTCCAAAGGTCAAACACTATCGCATGATTGTCTTGTGTCATACCCATGCTTGTATTGTACGCCTGCCAGAAACTCTTTTCCTAGAAAAAGTGGGTGTTAGAATGAGGAACCTGTGATCATGCAAAGTAGTCTTTAAAGAACTACAGAGATAAACACTTTAAGGCAGGTTATATTGCTGTCTTGCCAGTATGTACACTTCTGCATGTAGGAAGTGGGACAGAGGAGCTTAAGGAGAACTCAATGGGGTTATCTGTGGGCTGTTTATCTATCCCAGAGTGCCTCCTGCTCAGGGAGTGGAAGCCTTCAAACTGTAGCCTGTTTGCTTCAGAAGGCTGTGTGAAAAGCGGAGGAGGGGTGTTTGGAACTGTGTGTCTCCAAGCTGAAGCCGGTAGGGGGGGTGTCTGATGAATGGGAGGACAGGTCTGCTGCTCTGCTCTCCACAGTCGGAGCTTCCCATCATGCATTGCATGCCCCGCACAGAACTCTTTATGGCCTTGGGTTTTGCGCCATATCTCTCACACACACTTGCCAACAGAAACAAGCTTTTTTTTGGGAACTCTCCACTATCAGTATTTTCCTACTTCTAAAGTTCCTCATAAAACAACGTGGTAAAATGTTCCTGACTTTTACAACATGTGAGAAAGTCTGATCATTTTCTCTAAAAACAGATTCTAAGCCTTAATTTGACAGTTCAAATAACCAGAGCTTGACTGTAGCAACGTTGCACAGGCCTACAGACAATATAAAAAGTATCAACAAACTGTCAGATGAAGCTCTATGGGCGTAGCTAACATAAACCCCTCTTTAGTTTTAGCAGACAGTTGTTGGAACATCTTTGAACTCCACATGTTGAAGTACTTTGAGTGTCTGGAAAAGTGCTACACTAAGTACGGGGATGGAAGGAATATTTGTTGTAATCTGTCTGAACTGGCACATATAAACACTAAGTAATTATAACCTAGTTTCATGCATCACTTCTCAATGTCTTCTGGGAATCATCTGTTTATCCGTTCAGCAAGTCATCTCTCATCCCTTATGTCTTGCAGGATGTGAAGATATTCAGAGCGCTGATCCTGGGCGAGCTAGAAAGAGGACAGAACCAATACCAGGCCGTGTGCTTCATCTCTCGCCTTAGCCGCAATGAGATCATCCCGAGCGAGTCAATGGCCCGTCTCAGACAGGTATTACGTCAGGGCATCAAGCTAAATTGATGTGTTTTATAAATAACATTTCCATTTCTGCTTTAAAAAGAGCAATTTAATGTCCGGAGTATCTGAAGATGTGGATATTTATAATGTTTTTTGCCTGTTCAGAAAAATCCTCATGCCATCAGATTGGCGGAAGAGCGGAGAGGACTGGAGCAGCTGACGATGAGCGCCGCGGTTAATTTAAGTCAGGCCTCTCAACTCAGCTCCCACATTCACAATATGTGCAGCGAGGCCCGGGAGGCCATTTACACCAGGGAGTCCGATGTCAAACACTGGCTGGATAAAGGTCAGTGTCCTCTTCAGTTTGTTTATCATTAAAAGTAGCAGAAGCAAAATGATTGTCTCTTTTCCTCTCTCTCTCTGTCGCTCCTATACCCCCACAGCATACTGTATATCTCTTTAAATGACACTCTTTATCTCCCGGACACTCTCAATCTTTCCTATTTCTATCAGGCAAACACCTCTTTCCATTTACTTTTAGTGATACTACTGCAGTTGTTATCTCTGGCTTTTTGTTGATAAGGCTCTATTACTGCTCATGCTATCTTTGTTTGTCTGTCTCTTGACATTCCTGATAATACCTCCCACTTTTAACTTTACCCTCAAAACAGTCCGATAAATAATATTTGACATGATTTGCATGACATATAAAGGAATTCTGATCTGATTGTACAATCCTCACACAACATTTCATTAACTATTTGTTTTAAAAGGCCCTTTAGCAGTGGGATCTTATATCTTAATAGTGATGAAGTCCAAATTATCCAGGCTGAGGGGAATCCTTATGACAGCGCTTTTGTTCACTGACAGCACTGTTACAGAGGAAACAATGTTGATGGTCATGGTTCAGTAAGCACTCTGCACCATTATCAGTGAAGGGAATCTCAGTAGCGTCTCCTTTGCATAACAAAGCTCCCCTTTTACTGCACCATCTCCCCTCCTTTGAGCCACTTTGTTTGCCCCCTTCAGTTCAATACAGCGTTTAATTGAGTGAAATCCGAAAGAGAACGATTCACACAACTCTGTGATAGCTTGCTTTTGTTTTTAACACCATAGCTCTGATAATAAAGCCTCTCATGTGTCTGTGTTATAGGAGTGGATGGCTCCATATTCGAGGTCCTGCCTCAAACAACAGAGGCGCCCAGCTTTCAGGCCTGTCACTCTACTAAAGACTTGTGGCAGCCCTGTCTCTGCACATACAGCCTGCGTCTGGAGTGGTACCCATGTTTGCTGAAGTACTGCCGCAGTCGGGACACCACAGGCAAAGGCTCCACCTACAAGTGTGGCATCAAGAGCTGCAGCAAGGGCTACCATTTCACATACTATGTTCCCCAAAAACAGATGTGCCTATGGGACGAGGAGACCTAGCATTTGATTCTGGATCGTTAAGAAAAGATAAATACTTTTTTTTCCCTAGCCAAGTCAATGCTTCCCCACCCAGGCTATTCAAAGTAAAAGGTAACACTGGACCTCGGTTTATGTGATGTTTAGTGAAACTGTCTCAGATGGGGAGTGGTGGGATCCAGATGTTCAAGCTGAAATATAAATGAATTCAGGTTCAAAATGAGACCAAAACCATTACAGTAAGCAGAAATGCAACGTGTGTTTCTAAGAGAAACCACTCACTTTTGGCCTTTTCTGGAAAAATGTACATATTTTTGTAAAACGATAATGTGACTTTGCCAATAAGCTGTCCCTTTAGTGCCTTTTTTTTGGAGAAATTATTGGAGCAGAAGACAGATGCCAACAAGAATAACCTCCCAGTATGCACAAAGCTGGACAGTGCATGCCAGGTCAGTCAAACGCCAGCAAAGGAACAACACAGTCCAACTCTGATCAAAGGAAGATACTGGATATAGATAATCTTCCACACTATAGGGAAAGGTGTATGTTTTTGGACTAATCTATTTTATGAAGCTTTGTGAAAATAGCCAGCTGACAAAGGAAATACTTCTTCAATGCTGGCTTTATTTATTTTAGTTGCAAAGTGAAATTATTGAGGACTCTTTTTTATATATATTTGCCTTAAGCAAGTGGTAAAAGTCACATGTCTAAACAAAAGGTTGTTAGAAACAATAACTATTTCAAACACATTGTAGAACCGTTTAACCTCTTGGATTTTGGATGTTGTTTCAAGTATGATCCTTATGTCATAATACTTTGTTGCACATTTTCATGTGTGTAAAAACAGGTTTATTATCTTCTTTATTGGAGACTGTTGTACTTCAGCTCTTCTCCATCAAGACCTGGGGGAGCACTCACATTATAATGTCTTTAGCTCAAATAAACCAAAGTGAATGAATATACAAAAGAAGCAAAATAAGAGTTTAAAGTTTCACTTTCTAGCAACATACTTTTCACTGTGGCGTTTTTCAAGGATTCGCTGAACCTGCAGTGTGGCCTTTTAAATCATCTATACTGCCACCTTCTGGTAAAACAGTATATTTCTCGTTGTTTCCCAATGCCAAAATGCTTTTCATGGTTTTCAGTTTTGTTCATGTCAACAGTTAAATGTCTATAATTTATGCAACTCAAGTCCCTAAGCATAACTCATGCCATTCAATGAAAGCGTTTTAACTTGTGGGACCAAATTTAATTGTATCTGTCTGTCCTCCAGAGCAAAAGGTTGGTACTATTTGGGGTTTTCTTACCTCCTCCTTCATTTCATTCTTTACCGCTATATGAAAAAACAGTTTATGTTCTGTGTGTTGGTATATCCTACTAACTAATGAACCAAATGAGTGAAACATATGTGGCCTTAACTGGTTATCAAGTGCCTTAACATTTCCACTGATATCTTTGCTATGTAATTGTAGAATAAGTTTATAATTTTTTCTATGAAAGAGTTTTAAAACATGTTGTAAAAAAGTTGCCATAAGAAGAAAATTAAGCATTTAGGTAACGTGCCATTTGAGAGTTGAGTTTCAATAAAGTCTTACTTTGCACTGTTTATACAATTGCACGTTTTTGTTTTTATTTGGTGACATTTTTCTGACTTTATTGGACAGTAAACGGTAGAGGGCTGATGGAAAATAATGCTGGATTTAAACTGGGAATGTTGTGATTACATAAAGGGCACCCTTACGCCCCTTTGGAAGTTTGATGTTAATGATAATTTGAAACGTTAATGTACTGGTGTGGAAAAATATCTGTTTAATGACCCACTCACAAGCACCAAGGTGTGGGACTGCATTGACACTTACTTTGGTAGGAGTTTTCACAATGGGATGAAATATTGTCTGTACCAGTGTGCAGTCCCATATTACACGTAAGAATATCACACATATTAATAATTCATGTAGTTCTAATGAGAGTTAATAAATAATGTAGATCTTCCATTTTGTCGTCATTCTGAGGAGAACAGGTGTAATGTATACTATTGTCCGCAGGGGGTCGCCACTGCTCAAAACTGATCGCCCCACTTCCCATCGCTTTGGGAAGATATCCAGAACGATGGAAACAAAATGTATGTAAATATTAACCACGCCTGCCGTAATCTCTAAACTACGGTTTAGTATGGGATTATACAACCAAGGCTCAATTCTCTGTTATGCTAACAGTTGGTACATTTCCATGCACAGCGAGTAATGAGGTGAAAGGGGAGTGAAGGGATGCTGAAGGAGGCTGTTGTTGCCACCGGCGGAGCTCACGTTAAAGACAACAAATAGCAGCTACTGTGTTGGCTAACAACCCTTTGACAGTCTCCTTCAGAAACATATCTCCACTCCACAGGACAAAAAACACGCAGGATGTAAACGAAGACACGGCCACATGTGCTCCATCAAGGTAATGCTATTTCACTGCGTGTGTTAACGTCAAACAGTCCCATAGAAAACGCTTTGTTAGCCGTCGTTAGCTCGCTACTTCACTGGGTAGTTAGCCGGTGTGAGAGCATCATTTTACATCCAGGGATAAGCTCTAAAAACAGTATTTGACAGTCCTAGCATTTCAACTGTGTATTTATAACTTCATGTATAAAATGTGTTTATCACGAGTGTCCTTGCTAAAACGGCAGCATACCATACAAAACAGAAGTTACAAACGATATAAAAGAGATCGATATTGGATTACTAAATGATGGCTCCAGTGTATATTGTTTATCTACAGTGGCGTTGGTGAAACAAGTAACTAGGTAGAGTCACTGAAGTATTGTACTTTTTATTTATTTGTACAATCTTTAGCTACTTGTACTTCTACATAACTACAATTCCGAGGTATGTATTTAATACCTTTTAGTTACTTTGCATATTTGGATTAATGATGTAAAATATAACTCTTAAATAAGAATTTATTTAACCCTGGAGTAAATTCACAAGCTACCCTGCAGTATACAAAGTAATTACAATTAGCTGCAACTTTAACAGCTTTGATTACACTTTAATGCATCAATATTTATTATAAAAACATATGATATATAGTTCTGAAATTGACCAATCTGCATAATGAGTGCTGTTACTTTTGGTACTTTAAATATGTTTATGCTAATAATTGTGTACAGTAACAGACTATTCCTACACTCTGGTACTTTTACTTAAAGATCTGAGTACTTTTTCCACCTCTGGAAAATGCAATGGAATGCAATGCTAGAAAATCGGAGATAATGTTATTCACCATCCTGGTGTTTTACTTGAATTGTATGTTTACCTCGTTTTTTTGTTTATGGATGTATTTTTGTCTTTATTTGTTATGGTCCAGACAATCTTTTATTTGTATTGCACTTATATTTTAGTTTTCATCTTTGTTCATGTGTGTTGTGTTGGGACAAGTGTGTTACCTGTAGATTGTTTAGGAGATAATCACATTGGGCTTTAATAGGCATTTTTCACAATTATCTAACATTTTAAAATGCTTAATCAAGCAAATAATTTGACATTTGCTGAGACACAGCAGTGACACAACCCCTGCCAAACCAGTTCTCTCGCTCGCTCACTCAATATTTAAATATGCCTAAGCGAATCATTTACATTTGAAAATGAGTCAAAGCAAGCTCGGCTCCTAGCAGGGAGTGGTTGGCTCGAGGAAGCTATCCACCTGATCACCTGTTAATATGGACTCCCGGGGTGTCCTTACTGCTCTCTGACACTGCTCCAGCTTTGTCCTGTTAAAGAGATGTTTTATGAATGTTTTGGGCAAACCCAATCAACTATCAGGGTCATACCACCACACAGCTGTAGGGAACAAATGTTTAAAGCTCCAAGGCCATTTGCCTGCATCAGACAGGTTAGTGAGAGAAGACGACTGATGACTAGACCTAAAGGGCCATATTAAAAAATTCCATATTAGTTGCCAACCTATTTTCCATTGCTGCTTTGTAAAGAAAACAGAGAAATGGAGTTGTCCCAATGCATATAATAGTACATCTTTGCCTCCCCATGCCTATACCTATAGCAAACCTGTGTCACTTCAAGTCAGACAACAACAATACATTTTACTTTTATTATTGCACATCATTTTTATAAAAACCAGAAAAACAGTCTTTCTCTCATGAGATTGTCTGAGGCCCATTACCCAGTAACCTCTTGTCTAATTAAAAAAAATACTTTGTTTAGTCTTTGAGATTCAAGTGTTGTTCCACCCCAGTTAGGGTGGGCCTGACTCTGTGAATGGGCTCACCTCCTAGTACAAACGTCACAGCAGAAGAAGAGACGTCCCCCTCACCCCACTGGACCCAATGCCATCCAACTGTGGTGCTATTATAGTTCAAGCAAAGGCTAATTGTTGGTCCTTGACAAAGGATTGCACAGTCCAAGTCTCTGGACGGTAATGCTGTCTCTTTCTACTGTAAGCGATATAAGTGCACAAGATGTGCCTGTTTGCTTTTTTCTCTTTCTGATACAAATCTGGCTTGATGACGGCTGAGAGGCAGGAGAAACTGCAAGTGGGTTTAGTGTTTTGAAACGTGTTTGTTTTTTCTGTAGTGGAGAAGATGTCACTGGTTGTGGTTGGTACGCTCCTGTGCCTGTCTTGTTGGGTCTCTCTCTACTTTATCCTGTGCAACTTCAACGGGTCCAGGAGCTACGAGTGGAACTGTCGCCTCGTCACCCTGGTACATGGCATCCTGGCATGCTGCATCACAGGATACATAGGCTATGTCGATGGACCCTGGCCTTTCACTAATCCAGGTAGGACACCTACTACTTAGGATTGAAATGATCAACCCTTTTGCTTGAAAACTAAATGGTTGCATATACAGTTATGTATTGATTGCCTAATTGTTTCATCTCTATAATGCTAAGCATGTTGTCGAAAATTGTTTTTTTTTTTTAAACGGCTATTATCATGCAGACTTTTATTTAAACTACCAAAAGGAAAACACATTCAAAGTGGGAATAAACCATTCAGCAATGACCAAATAATTGTACCTCTCCTGTCTTTTTGGGGTATTTTACAAAGTATATTATCAAAAGTTTTGATGCTACATGTTGATATTGATAATGATGTGCTCCTGTCTCAGTTATTACTTCTGTATTCTATGACTGGTATTTAAAATTCATTGCTAACTAAAAACAATGTTTCTGTTGCTAGGTACTAAAAACAGTCCTCTGCAAATAAGTGCCATGTTGGTGAGCCTCGGCTACTTTATTTTCGACATGGCCTGGTGTGTGTACTTCCGCACAGAGGGCCCCGTTATGTTGGCCCACCACACCATGAGCATCCTGGGAATCCTGTTGACCCTGTGGTTGGGGGAGTCTGGCATCGAAGCCTGCGCGGTGCTCTTTGGCAGTGAAATCACCAACCCCCTCCTGCAGGCACGCTGGTTCATCAAACAGACGGGACATTACGGGACACGCCTGGGGGACATTGTGGATGTCCTGTTCGTGCTGCTGTTTGTGTTGATGCGAGTGTTCGTGGGAGGCACAATGCTGTACTGTGAGCTGATCTCACCCAACCCAAGATTCTTTATCAAGTGTGGGGGAGTGGCTATGTATGCTCTGTCCTGGGTGTTCATGGTGGACATTGTTCGATTTTGCATAAAGAAGAGCAAGAGCTGGCGAAAACAGAGGAGAGACCAACAAGAAACAGTGGCAGCTAATGGTCATGAAGGGAAGAATGACTGATTGGCTTTCCAAAGTCAGTCTGTTTTTTTTTACCATTACCAAGGGAAATTACAAAGAAAATCAACTTTTCAAAACTGACGTTTCAAAATGGATAATTCAAATCGAGAACCCTCCTTTGACATCTTTCTGTGAGGTCTAACATTTTCTGGACTTTTATCCAGCTAATTCAGCCGAACACATATTTGATTGTTGTGTAAAATGTGCAGTTAAGAAACAACACGGATGTAGATTAAGACACTGAAAACTAAAGCACTTTCTGCAAACACATGAACAGATGTTGCTTTCAGTTGCAATGAACCGTGCCCTAGTAACAAGTTGTGGAATTGCTTGCAAAGGAAAGCTCAATGTTAGGAAAGAGACAGTTTACATGTTATGCCTTTCCTCTTTGTGAAACATTTTTCATAATTTCAATAGGTTTTTTGGCATATGTGAAACTGCGAGCAGATGTGAAAGGTGTACTCAGGGAGATGAAGAGTGGGATGGATTCCAGAGAAATGTTTGTGATATGTTTGATTACTTAGTTTATAGCAACAAGTTTACCCTTTTCCTGCTTTCTAAAATCTTGGTTCAAGATCCTGCCCCTGAAACATTCATTTAACTTTCCACGGATAAATCAAGAGACACTTCTCATAAATAGAACTCTGCGCTGGTAATGCTATTGTTTTGCAGTCCATTTGGATATTTATGTTGACTTTGAATATGTGGAAATGTTTGGTCGTTATTTGAGAGGTGCGATTACAAAGGATACGTTGTCTGTTCTGATAGCTCTCAGCTAATTTCATTTAGTAGTCACATTTCAGTCTCACAGAGATCTTGTTAGACAAGACAATTCAATTAAATGTATAGTTAGCTATCTGTACAGCGTGCAAAATCATATCGAGATGAATTGCTCATATCAGGTTATTTCTTTGCAAACTTCTGTTTGACTCACTCTTAACACATCAAAAAGTATTTATTTTACCTACTACCTGTTTGGAGAGTTATGAGTTTAAGTATTTAATGTTTATTTAATGTGATATGATGATTTCTATACTGTGATGGTAGTTATCAGAAAAATGTTCATCTCAATAGTGATTGTGATATTATATTGTCCAGAAAGAACACACAAGTGCATTATGGGATACGATTTATCTTACTCCATGACTGAATTAGCTCCATGCCGATAAAGCTACCGAACTACCAGGATTTATCTTTGAGCTTGGATCTGTTTTCTTATTATTATGACCATATTTGTATATGATTATCATCATTATTATCAGTGCATATGGATTTCTGCATTAGTGTGCTAAAAGGCTTGCCATTTATTTATTTTTTCTCTTTATGTGTTATTGATTAGCTGTTTTTGTGGCAGAATCATGTGAACATCACCATTCTATCAAAGAAACTAAAAATCTAACTGGTGTGTGCCTTAGTTATCTATACTTTTCTAAATATGTGTTACTTTTTGTTCTATGCTGTACGTTTAACCCTCCAAAATCTACATAGCAGTAATGAAGGACCATTTTGAGTTTGGGGTTAAATGATTTGCCTTTGTAATCCCTTTGTGAAGTCGGATATACAAATGTGACAGACTGTTTGTATGCCTTGAAATAAAATGTAAACAAAAACATTTCAACTATAATTGAAGGACCAGCTGCATTTGTGCCACAGGTACTTAAATGTATTTTTTGGACTGAGACTGCAGTTACCTGAACTGTCCACATGGTGGTGTCAGATCAATGGTATATGAAGAATGATGATGAGGAGACATGATGATCAGTCGTTCTGACATTCAGGAGAAACGTGTCAAATACTACTTTGTCATCATTTTCTAGTTTACATTTTTTGCATAAATTCAACTGTTTTAAATCTCTGTGTATTAAATATATCAAGCCTAAAGCAAAATAAAATACGGTGTATGATACTGTATAATACACAGTGAAGTGCTTATTGTAAAATGATACGGTAAAGTGTCAGTTGCCAGAAACAATAATAATAAAAACAATTGCAAAACAAATTGAATATATTTGTAGCCAGTGCACTAGCTCATGTATTTCAATGGGTCACACGAAACAAATAACAGATCAAGAGAAGGTAGAGAAGTAGCCTACAACTGCACATGTTTCACTCACCACAGCGGCTGTTTAAAGGTAAAGAGGATTTGGACAGTTTCATTGTGGTAGTGCATATAATTTATTTGGAAAACCCACAATAACCACATCCTTCAATATAACATTGACAACATGGTGTTCTTAAATGCACTTTTTCTCAGCTTGAGTAAAATAACAAAAATGCACATTTAAAGTAAGTTAAACAATTGTATGAATTCAAATTACATCAACTAATATTGATTGCAATGAATATGGATCTTGGTCTTGAAAGGTTCTGCAGTAGTTTGCCAGTTGACAAGCTTTCTATCTGGATGAATGAAGACACTTTCATCAGAATAGCAGTGCCTTCTTGTTGATGATGGACAAAGGACTGGGCTGTAAGCTGTAAATAATGAACATAATGACTGTTCTCCCTGTCCCACAACAACCACATACAGACAGAGATTCATGAAAACCTTGAAAAAATACAACACATCATCAAGAGAATCAACCACCAAAGGAAAAAGTATCTTCTTCTTTTTTGTTGCCATGGAAAAGCAACAAAAAGAAAAGAAAAGACAACCGGGACTGTAACTTATTAGCTGATTTATTGTGTGTCTATCAACTTATCAATGTACTGACTAATATAAATATAATCTATTTCCCTCTCCCTCAGAGAGATGCTGAGTGTTTTTTATATTTAACAAATGTACCAGTTTAATGGATAGCCATATATATTTGGATTTGTTCAACTCTATTGTCCTTGCACAGAGTAAAACGAAATGCAGTTTGCATCCAACCAGAAAGTGCAAAGAGTAGTAAAGTGCATGAGGTTACATTACATTTACATAAATAGTGTTGTAGTAATGTAAATACATGATTTATAAATATGAATACATTTATTTAGATAAGGTGCATATTTTGGAGCATATACAATTAAGGTGCAGTGTTTAATACAAACACACAGTTGTAACGAATAATACATACAAATGGCATAACTAGTCAGTATTTATTGGTCTATAAAATAATCAACATTTCTCTATAATAAAAAAACTGAGAATTATGCAATTGTTATTTTTTGCTAATTGTGTTTTTTGTCATCGACTTGGTGTTTCAGTTCCAAAGAAGGTCACATAGGCTACATTTGTTGTTGTTGTTGTTGTTGTTCTTCTTCTTCTTCTTCTTCTTCTTCTTCTTCTTCTTCTTCTTCTTCTTCTTCTTCTTCTTCTTCTTCTTCTTCTTCTTCCCATAATCTAATATTCACTACTATACAAATCAAATACAAATAAATGAATACTATAATACTATTACTACTACCAAGTGTAGTTATAACGGTATAAGTAGAAGTAGTGGCATCATAGTTAGTGCTGTGTTGTGTTATGTTCGTGTTGTCTTTCAGCAGTCTTCCCCAACATTATGCTGAAACAAAATGAGTTTTCCAATCTCCCGGCGGAAGTGGTTAGTGAAGCGCTACTGGACTCCGACAGCTAGCTGGCTAGGGCGTTGCTAGCGGCAGAAAGTGGGATTTTTGGTACCTTTGCAAAAGTTATTATCTTTTACAAATAACCCCTTGCGTTGGAAAAATCTGCGTTTAATGTTCGCTGAAAGTTTTAACCGCCTCGGTGGGTTTTTGTCGTTGTTTACGAAGGACTGGTTTGACTTTATGTCCCGTTAGCTGGCCACATAGCTAGCCTGCTTCCATCCACGGGAATTCTGCCGAGAAACGACTGAATTCTGGAAACATGGAGTCAAGGACCGCTGCGCTGTGCTAACCGACTTCACGGGACTTTCTTTGCTCAAGGGGACTGTTTGAAGGACACAATACAGAGACATTTCGCAACCAGTAAATATTCATGCCGTGCTGTTTATATATAGTTTTCGGTCGTTAGCCGGCTCATTGTTGTGAACGGGAGTTTGCTTAGTTTGCACTCGAAACAAGAGCGTACGAGGCAAAGTTTTTTTTTGCTGAAAGAGCTCATCTGTTTTGTTAGCTGGTAGCTGGCGAGATTCAACGCCAGCCAGCTTTCAGTGAGAAATAGTTTTCTTAAAAAGACATCCTGTTTTTTGTTCTATATACCATCCTACACATTTTATTTTTGAATCTAACGTTTAACACCGATGTAACATTAGCTGCAGTTGTTGCTAATTTGTAACACGGGTCGTTTAAACTCGGTATTGAGCTATTCTCATGGTCACGGAAGAGTCTTCCCCACAGCCACAGACAGGCATTTCTTGGAGCAGGGAATACCAAATGGGACTGGAGGAATTTCCATCATCTTCAAAGATAATTTAGGAACCAATCTTCAGCCGAGCTGGGGTGGTGGCAGACGGACTACACCGCAGGGCCAAGGGGTCTGATATATTGGAATACATATTGTTTACACATTTCGTATCGACGGAACACTGGGATGTGAATGCAAATTATTCATACAAGGAGTTTATACATGCACCACAACTTGTGCCAACTGAGGCAGTATATTCATTCTTGTGGCCAAAATATTGTTTTTATCCGAGGAAGGATACCATCCGACTGCACATCAAATACGACAGAGGCCCCGATTAATTTTTTAAGGTCTGCACTGTAATTCCTCGCTATTCAGTTTTTTGGCAACGGGCATTAGCTAACAAATAACGTTTAGGTAGTATTTGTGTTTTCTCAAGTGTTTAGACGTGCCTAGCAAACAGCCAACAGTGTCCTACAAGTAATCTATTATCAACACCATTCTGAAAACCCTTGCCTACTTCACACGAATGCAAGAGAAGGACGCTCCAGGAAATCGCCCCATCACACTCTGGAAAATGTTAATCGGATATAATTTGCTGCAAATCTAGAACCGGAAGCCCAATGAGTGACACACAGTCCAGCTTCACTGACAGGTACAGTCTACACGCATCTGTATACTCTTTTAATGCCCTCTCTGCACTCACTGCATCTTCACAGTAATATCACATGGCATTCTGTTACAGTTTATTGATTTGTTTTGATGATATTTATCTGTAACACAACTCTCAGTCTGATGAAAATATGTTTTTCATGGTCCCAAATAAAGCACTTCTTTGTGGTGCTGTGCTCTGTAATAACTATGTTACAATCTAATTACTAAGGAAGGACATTAGATCTTGATGGAAACTCTGCTGAACTCAGCATGGGTAATGGAGTTTTCTGCAGACAGTAAAGTAGTACTTGTCCAAGGATTGAGAAGGCCTGCCAATGTTTGTGTGCCGGAGAATAATCGTCTGTGATCCTGTACACCTTTAACCTCCCTATTACTTCTAAGCCTTTAAAGCTTTTCCTACACCTATTAAAACAATCTATGGATTTACACAACAACCCAGTCTACCCAGCTCATCACCCTGTCTAATAAGGCATCTGTCAATTTTCACTAAAATATTGGATATATTTTGCACAAAGAACACACTAAATGATAGAAGGACCAGTCTAGTCCATAATAACAATGTATTTTTACAAGAAAATGTATTCCTCAATCTTGTTCTACCTGTAAGAATAACAAGGTTTCTATTCCACATTGAATGCACGCTGCAGTGTAACAGAGAAGTGAAGCTGTTGCTTTGCGTCCAGCCTTCCCACCTGAATCCCACATGCCTGCAAGGAGAGCAGGCCAATACAGTGGAATGTGGTTGTAGATTTAGAGCAGAGGGAAGCTTTATTGCACAGGTTGGGATTTGAGATACCCTTCTGGCTAGGGCATGAGCTAGAGGCTAAAAGCCCAACCCCATTTTATATGACCCCCCTCCCCCACTGCCAGGATGGCAACTGTGGATGGCACCAAATGCTATTGTATTGCTGTTTATTGTGTTTTTTTTCTTTTTACAATATGACCTTAATTTTGTGAATGGCAGTATTAACTAGAGTCTAGCCAACTGGAGGAACTATCATGTCTCTCTGTGCTTTCATGAACAAATCAGTGCTTTCGAATCACACCAGTGTTGAAATGTAAACTGTGGGTGATTGCCATATAAATCACAGAGATCCTCCCGATAACATGAAGCACCCAGGATTAGGTTGCTATGAGACAGTGTAGTATATCATACATCATATTTTTTCATTTCCGATTTGCTGCAGGCATGCTGCATGTGAAGTCTTGAGGCTGTGTTACACACATTGGTAGTATAAGTATCTTCCCTTTAGTCAAAGTATGGGGGTTGATATCTTTGGAGGGATCATTGGTTGATATATTTGTTTTGTTTTCAAAAACTGTCATAAAATCCACAATAGAATTGTGTGAAAACTCTGTTACTCTGCACAACATATGTTTTGGACTGCAGCAGATTCTGGAGGGTGCTTCCCACAGTGCTTGATAAACGACTTTATTGATTTATGATGTTGTCTGTCTTTCCCTCTCTTCTTAAGTCCATCTATATTTCTCTTCCCTGGCTGTCCCTCCACTATGTGTGGTGTTGTGCAGTTTGTTTTCGCTCTGTTGGCTGTGGTGGGAGTATGCATCCAACATCCATTAGGGTTGGGCTGCCAGCCGATGGGTCAGTTTAGTTTGCTGCTAGCTCTTTGTCATAGAGTTCTGCTGATCCCCACGTTTTTCCCACCCCCCCTGAGGCC